AGAGTAAAAGGACAATCAGTGTGAGGGGAAAAAGATAAGAAATTTAAAGAATCAGTTCAGAAGTTCTAACATCAAACTAATAGAAATTCCAAAAAGAGGACAGAAAACTAGATTATGATTAGATTGGGGGTGAGGGGAGCAGGGGAGACTGTGTATTTCATTAAATGCCCTCTAGGACTACTTGATTTTTCTCAGGTTTGGGCATTATATAACTATAGTAAAAAGAGAAATAATTATTAAATAAGAAAAGGACTAGGAATGCTAAGCAAACTAAATAATTCAACATTATCATAGTTCTATTATCCAGGAAAAATTTGTCCTCTAACTTCAGCAACAAAAATATTATAACATAGGGAAATGTTCAAGACATATTCAGTAAAATAAGCAGAGTATAAATACAGTGTATAAAGTGACAATTTCATAACAAAATATGTCTTTGCATGTACATAAAAAATACAAGAGGATAAAAATGTTAAGGATAGTTATCTCTAAATTGTGTAATTATGAATAATTTTTGGTGAATTTTCATATTTTTATACAGATGTATTGCTCTGAAAATTGGAAATTTAGTGAAATTTAGGGAAAACCAGTGAGAGAAAAATATTTAAAGAGATAGGAAATGGTGTTGTTAATGAAAACCCAACCTATTCTTTCTGTGAACAAATCATACTAAACTTGTTGCAGTTATAAAGATACATAAGACATTGCTCCAGTTTCTCAAGAAGGTCACAGTCTAACATGGGAGATCAAAATGAATGTATACATAGCCACAAATACAAGATAGAATGTTAGGTTTCCTAGGTGTGGAGCCAATACAGTTACGATTCTTTCATGGGAAAGATCACTTTTAGATGGAAGGTTAGGGAATTTGGGAATGGAAGAATGAATGGGATTTCAAGAAACCCAAGTTGTATGAAGCCATTCCAGAAAGAACTAAGACTTAAGTGTAAAAGCTCATGGTGATTTTGGCCGGATACTGGGGTAGAAGATGGGATGTATGCTTGGGGACCAGTTAGTGTAGGGTACTGGATGCCAGGTAAAGGGATTTGGACTTTGTTTGATAGAAATTAAGAGTCAGTAAAGATTTTTAAGGAGGGGACTGAATAATTACATGAGAGAACACCTGGTTTGAAGTCTATTATGCTAGCCCAGGCTAGTGATAATGAAGAATTGAACGTGCATATTGGTTGTGGGATTGAAAAGGAAGGATAAAGTTGAGAAACATTGAAGGAGTTGAGTCTATAGTAGTTAGCAATTACTTGGATGGGGAAAAAGAGGTAAGGGGGCAACAAAAGGAGCTGCCTGTTGCGAGTCTAGATTATTAAAACAGTGGTAACAGTGGCACAAAAGAATAGTCAGAATAAAGAAGTAGTTTTGTGGAGGAAGATAATTTTGGATATGTTGAATTTTAGATTTCAGAGGAATATGCATAAGGCAGTACTCAAAAAGCATTTGAAAGTATGAGTTTGAAGAGCAGTCACTCAGCAAATACGTATTAAGTATCTCCTATGTTTAATAACCACCATAGCACAATCCATTCAAAATTGAGTGAAACGTGACCTCTGTCCTTAGGACAAAGCTCATTTTTTTTGGAATTAGGGAGATGAATAGATATCATACGGATTATCACAATGAAATTATCATAAGTAATGCATCAACAGACTACGGACAGAGTACTGTGAGAGCACAGAGGAGAAAACTCCATCTTTAGGTTCACCAAGATCATTCTAAAAAGGTTTAAATGACCAGTAGCAGCTTACAAACATGGGAAACTATTCCAGGCGTGATCTGGACATTTCACAGAAATGAGGGCTTAATCTAGAAGGAACAGAGGGAGACTATTATAGTGAGAAGAAAATCGGAAGTTATGTATCTATTTGCCAGGTAGGAAGAGGTTGAGAAGCCATTGGGGGGGAACATAGAATTTGATCCCAGAAGCTAAAAGAAGTGATTCAAGGCAAATGAAAGTTTGAAACTGGCCAAGAAATTAGGAAGATTTAGAATCAAATCTGCTGGATTTAGTGATTCAGAGGCTATTGATGACTTTATAAAAATGTCTCAGTAATATCAGAATGAAGATGTTTCAGATGGTGAGGATGTAATAAAACTCATACAAATAAATGCAAAATAATGTGTTATACATATTAACTGATGGTTTATAAATATTACACAAATAAACTTATCATATATAGGGAGTAAATGTAAACAATATTTTTGTGAACTTGATTTTTAAGAAATATCAAAGAAAGACCACAGGAAGTGGTCTTGTGGGGCTAGTAGAGCCATTGGATCTGGCAAGGATTGTTGTTGATGTTTGAAAATCATTTTCAAAAGATTAGTAAGGGCATGATCTAGACTTTGAAGGAGCTAAGTACATGAAAAGAAATAAAAGGATGGTGGCAGTTCCCAGAAATCCTGAAACACTGCCTCTCCTCCACCCTTCCCCCCCACCCCATTATCTGATTAACTTAACTTTTCCTTCAATTATCAGCAGAAGTGTTCCTACCTCAGGCAGACCTTCTGTCCAACCTTCTCAAACTAAATTAGGTTCTCCGTGTTAGGCTAACACACCATTCTTTTGCTCTATAGAATCTACCACAATTTGTAATATATTGCTTGTATATTTGTTAAATGCCTATCTGCCTCACCAGTTAGTTGCTTGAGGATAGGCACTGTGAGAATTTGTTCTCTACTTTACATTCCAGCCTCATCACAGTGTTGTTGGTACATAGGTTTTTAACAAATATGTATTAGATGAGAGAGGCAGAAGGATAAAATGGAGCATTTCCAAAGTAAATGTCTTGAGGATAAAACAGTTACAGGATATCAAAGTCCAACATATGTTGCCCAGTATGTGGATTGCTGTAGTGGAACACAGATCAAGATTTTGGGGAAATTGAGGTTATACTTCTAGAACAATTTGCTCAAATTGGGATGAAGAGGAAAGAGTGATGTTTTAAAACAGATGTCAAATGGGAGAAGCTGAAGTAAAACAGAAAGGATAGAATTCAAAAATGAGGTTAGTAAAAAAAAAATGAGTTTCGAAAACAGTAAAAAGTATACTGTCTTTTCTTCTTTGGTGGGTGAGTTAGAAGTTTACTGAGGGCTGTGAGCCAAGGGGAGTGGAAGGGAATTACGTTTAAATGAAGTTCAGAAGGTATAAGGTTTATATAAATAAGGGGAAGAAAGTATAGGGTGATATGTTCATAATATAACAGGTATCCTAGGACACAGGGCAACAGGACCCATAAAGGGGGAAGACAGAGACGATGAAACTAGGTGACGGTGGGCTCTGGAGCACAGTGTATGTGCTTAATAAGTATTAGTTAGTAGACCTGTTTAGTGCAAATTCATTTATTTCTAGAGAAACAGCACTAAAAATCCCCTAAATTAAGTAATAGTGATAGCAAACAAAAGCTTTTTGTAATATGTAACCCCATATCTTAAAATGCAATTACATGTAAATATATTTACACTATTTACGTGAAAAGTTTTTGACTAAAAGTATGTTCTTGTCGTTTTTAATGTTCTCACACAGTGATAAAGATTCTTTGCAATATACAGAGATACCTTGTTTCGATATATAAAAATTCTTGGTTCTGAAAAATAGAACTTCGTTTGCTTCATGTTTTTAGAAATGACTAATCCTGCTTTAGATAGCTTTTATTTAAAACTATTTACAAAAATTATGATCATGAAATAACGGAGTTTATGTGCACCTCAAATACAATTTAAAAATTTGGTGGGTTTTTATTTTTTTGGTTTTTGGTTTTAATCAGTACAGTGAAATTTCTATGCAGCTCTGAATACCTTGCCTTGTTACAGTATTTTAATTCCACTTGTGACCATGGGTTTGTAAGGTGACTGGAGTTAGGGATACTATCTTTGACTATGAAAAAAGAGTGGTCTGTTTGTCCTCTGGGCAAAACAAAGTGATTCCTATGTCCGATGAGGGCCACTGACCTGATTCACACTGCACTTCACTACCAAGGGCTTTGGCATAGACCAGCTGGTGTTTTATGTTTTTTCTGTACTCATTCAAAACCAAGAATCAAAGTGCTCTGTGATATCCTTGTGAATTGTCATACAGTAAAACATGTCTCTTTCCATAAGTGTGTTTTGCTTCTTTGGAAGTTTTTTGTTTTTTTTTTTTATGTGAGCATTGAAGTATTTTACCTGGTATACTGAGATACGGTTCTCTGGCTACTAGGAAATAATTCATTTCCTGAACATAAAATGCATTAGAAAAAAAAAAAGAAGAAGAAAATGTTACTATCATCATATAACTAAATAGGTTAGGACTTCAGTGGTTATTGTTAATAATTCTGACTCAAAGCACCTAGTAGGTTAATTCTTGGTAACAGTTCTTATGTGGGAGAATACACTTATCTGCTGCAAAGTTTTGCATGTGTGAACAGCTATTACCAAGGTGGAAAGAAAAGAGAAACTCTGCTTTTATCTGTACTTTTTCTCATCAGTTGAATTCTTTTTAGTGTCCTTGGTACCAACCGTACCATGAATAATGTTTTCATTAAACAATGACATTCCATTTGTTGCATTTTAGTTTTCTTCAGTAAAACTTCTCTGTCCTTATCCCCCCAAAAAATAAATTAAAAAAATTCTCACCATGTATCTAGGACACTCCTGATTTGTCTTTTGAATGAGTCAAAGCTGAGAGAATTATGTAAGAGCAAATGTTAGTGTTACGAGTCACATAATTTGAAGACTGATCAACCCCTCATGATCTAGGATACAGTCAGACCATGAATTCGATTCAGTATTTCCCTTAACACCAAAGGTACGATCTTGCCTTATGTTCTTGCTGTCTTTTAGTCTTGGTAGAAATTTATTAGCTTTTCTTGCCTAAAGCAGAGTGTGGAGGAGGAAGAGATTTGAGTCTGAGAAACATATAAATGCTTCTCTCCACACTATCAAAAGTCAGATGTTAATTCTGCTTTGGAGGAGACTGACGGCACACTGATCTTGAGTTCTCTTCGCAGTGGGTAAACCTCACAAGTGCAACTACTGTGGACGAAGCTACAAGCAGCGCAGTTCATTGGAGGAGCACAAGGAGCGCTGCCACAACTATCTCCAGAATGTCAGCATGGAGGCTGCCGGGCAGGCCATGAGTCACCATGGTGGGTAGAATCGGCATTCACCATTTGCATCCCCCCTCACTGCCTTTGTAGTTCCTTAGGGGTTAAACGGTTCTCTCTCCCTACCCTTGAGCGTGAAGATAAAATCTTACTCTTTTTAAAACAATTTTAGATCACATTAACTTTGCATGGGATTATCTTCTGAAGCACGGGAAGTGAGTTGAGCTTTGGGACCCTTGGCAGACAAGCTGTACTGAGTTTTTGTGAAACTCCCAGATTTATTTCTGATAACATGCATTTGAATTAAGATAATAATGACAGCCGGCTTTGAATACACCAAAGGAAGAGAGTATTTGCTCTCCTCTTTCATTGGCTGCACCAAAGAGTTAAATGGTTCTAGGAAAGTCTGTAGAGTTCCTAAAAGAGCTGGTTGTGTATTTTCATTTCTCTTAGGTAAGTGATCAGTGATAGAATTGATATAATTGGAAATTTCTCTAATCTGTTTTGTGATTTATCTTGGAAATTACTCATTTTGCTTTCTACAAGTGTAGGGGACAATCTAGACTAAAATTAGGCACCACTTCCCTCCACAAAAATCAAAACCCAAGCAAAACATCCTCATCTCTGCAATATACAATAGCAGGTAGGAAGGTAGTTTCTAAGGTTTATCAACTAATAACTCTACATTACTGAAAAATTAATGTTGATAATCAGCCTTACGAAGGAAAGTTATGAATTTTAGTTCTTGAGATTTGGAGCATCTGTCTTGTCCTATTAATTATATTTTTATACTGATTAATTTTATCATTCATATAAGTACATACAAAAATCTTAACTTATTGTTGCATTTATATCTTTTATTTTAAAAAGATTTAGCCGGTATCAGATAATATAACTAGAGAATGCTGTAGTCATTTTCAAAATATAAATATCTATTTAACAACTTATAGACAGCTCAAGGATTATTTGTGGGTTTTGTTTTGTTTTATGTAGTACACATTGTAGAGGTGTGTTTATAGGACAGCAAGTGATTATTTGTTGTTGTTGAGTTGAGAATTTAATTTAAAATATTTATTTTGTTACCCTGAATAATTGAAGCATTTCTTTTTGAGGGTAGTTTATATAATCTAAAGAATTATTTAAATCTATTTGTTATTCTGAATGAGTCCTTTGTTTTTATTTTATCATTATTAACTAACATTTTTGAAAACCTGTGTTTTATGTCGTAGTAAATTTGATATCGCAAGCTTGCATTACCTGGGCTTATGAAGGTAGCATAGGATCCAGAGCAGGGAATGTAAAATGGTGGGTCTAGGAGTCCAACTAACCTGGCCTGGCTGTGTGGTGTCTGTGTCACAGACTCGGTATGAGAACTAAATGTGATTGGATATGCAATAAATACCCAATAAATTAGTTATTTTCACTATTACATTTCAGGGCATTAAATATTAAGAAATGTTAAATGTTCCATGCCCTATAGAGTTATGTTACTTACCAGCATTAACTTAGGCATTTGAGGTTTCATTTGCCGTTTCTGTTTAAATTGTTTTTAGAGGTGGCTTGAGGCAGGGTAACTGGTGGAGGCTTGAAGGCATGCCAAAATTTTCTAAAGACATTTTGTGGTACTACTACTGTTTTTTCCATATAATGTTCTCTCCTTGCCATTTTGACATTTGACTGGATTATTAATTCCTTTTCCACTGAGTTTCATAAACTCAATGGAAAGTGTGTTGCACACACATCTGAATAAGAAAGAGTCTCTTCTAAAAGATTTTATATAAAGTGTATATAAATAGTCAACATTTAACTATGTGTTGGCAAATTAACCAGTTGTAGAATAAGTCCTGACGAAAAATTAAGCAGGTGTATTCTGGGGGGAAAAGACTTCTAAACAACCATAGCATCAACCCTCATTTCCCAGATTGCTTAGCCCTTAATAATCAAAAGCCCTTTATAGGTTGCTCTAAAACTGTAACAGAATGGGGAAAGTGAGGAAGATACTCAGGTACTGGGTAGAGCAGGGGACAAAGCCAAAGACAAGTGTATGGGGAGTGTGAGAGGAGGAGATAGGTTTTGGTATCCTTTATAGACCCAAATATTTGTTCTTCAATATTGGATATAGTTTAACCACATAAGTTTATATTAACATCATTTCATGCTGTACTTCTTGTGGGGATGTAATAATAATTTGAGAGTATCCATAATCTCCTTTTTCTTCTGTTAACATTCTTAATGCAGAATTGGATATATGAGGTAAGAATGGATAAATGCCATAAGAGGAAAAACATACTGGCAAAATGCTCCTAGAGTTCATCATTAACCTTGTCTCACCTACATAGCTTGGCATGTGTCTCCTTTTAAAGACAGCCACAGTGAAAATAATATTTATATCCTTCCCTCTCTTACTATCCTGCTATATCTTGTCTTGTCTTTTTTTTCTTTTCTTTTAGTGGTAGAGGTGGGGGTTGCCATCATTGTGGTTGCCATTAGCCCTTTGAAATTATTCTTTTTTTTGTTTTGTTTTGTTCCTATCTGACATAGTTATGTCTCCTAGCCTCTCTTTCCTAAAACATGTTCTTCCCCATGTTGACTCTTCTAGGGAGGGGAATGTCTGAGGTCAAAGAGGCATTCTTTCACTTCATTCAGGAAACATTTATTGAGGGCTTGCTATGTGCTAATTTCCCACACAACATTCTGGGAATATAAAGATAAATGGACACAATTTCTTTCTTACATTTATAGTATGGTAGGAAATAGGTACTTTAAAGAAAGATGAATAAAATGAAGTAAATGCTCTAATAAAGACGTATGCACACTTCTCCAGGAGCGAAAATGCAGAGCTGACCTAACTCTGTCTCCAGAAATCAAGAAAACCTTCTTACATCCAGTGCTTGATTCATACATGAGGTTGAGAAAAATCGTACAAATTAGATTCACAGAGAATGTATGTTCCAGGCAGAGCAGGTGCCACAGGCTAACACTTGGAGGTATAAAATAGCATTAGCAGGTTCCTGGACATTGAACATAGTTGGAGTTAAAGAAGTGGTAGAAAATGAGACTGACATAATTGGTTGTAATGCAAAAATGGAGCCTTTTATTGCTAATCCAATGTTTGAATTCCACTGGGGTAATCCGATTTGTCTTGTAAAGAAAAATGTCACCAATGAAGAACATGGGAGAGATGCCTGACTGAGGTGGGAGGAGAGACTGGAAGTGAGAATGCCAAGGAAAAGATAAGAAGGCAGTAACAGGAGAGGAGGACGGGATGAAGCACTTAAGACATATTTTAGGAGGTAGACTAAAAAGATTTTGAGTTTGAGGGAAAAGGAGAAAATTCATGACTTGTAGTTTTGGAAGTAAAAATAATAATGGATTTTATGGCAGATTATCTTATTTGAAAATTATCTTTATGCTCATTTTTCAAGTCTGTTTAGCTTGAAGAAAAAACTTTAAATGCTAAAGTATGTAATTAGCTTTTTCCCCCTTGCCGGAAGACAAAAATGAAAGCATGAGCCAAAAGATAGCTAGCTTTAAAACAAGAACATATATTCTTAAGTGTATGCTTTGAATTTTTTGAGAAAGGGAAGTTCTTTATTGCAAGTTGGGGAACAGAATTAAGAATCTGTAAATTCTAGTAAACTTCTTCAACTTGTTTCCATTGGGTAACATTATTTCCTTCATGAAGTATTCAGTAAAAATACACTGAATATTATATTTGTTTCACATCATAAAAGGTATGAGAGACACAAATAAAATGCAATCCCTACCCTAAGGTTACTTAACTACTGGAAGATATAGACCAGTAAACCAACAGAACACTGTCTGACATGCTTTATAGGGGCATAGAGGATAGATGTCCAAATCAGATTCTGGGTGTCCAAGAGAAATTTCTGGGAAAGTTACATTTGAGTGGAGTTTTGAAAGGCAAGATGGCCAGCTAAATAAATGGAAGAGTCTTTTATGCAGAGAGAACAGCATGTATGAAGATATAGAAGCCTAAAGAGCATGGTGAGTTAAGGACCTACAAATAACTGGTATAATTAGAGCACAGTTTGTAAGGGCAAAAGAAATTAGAAGGTAATAAGGTCAGAGAAATAGTCTGTGAACAGAGTATCAAGGGCCATTTGTGCTAAGCAAAGAATTTTGTACTTTATCCTAAAAAATAATTGTGGATTAACATTTAATTGCTAGGCATATAGGACATCAGTCAGAAGAGTCAAGACAGAAGCAAGTAGACCATTGCAACAATCTGGTCAAGTTGGGTTTAGTAGTCTGGAATATACAGTTAAAAACTGAGAGCAACTGCAGATGTAGAACCTAAAATACATAGTACCTCCATGTGTGTATATGAGGAGGAAGTGGTAGAGAGAAGGGAAAAGAGACTGGGTGAAATGAAGAAACCTAGCATTTGCCACAGGTATTTAGCATGGATGACCAGGTAGATAGTGGTGCCATTCAAGAATATGGTAATTAGGAAAATATGATAAAGTTTGGGGTGGGAAATGGAGATTTCAGGTTTTGAAGGCATTATCTTTTAGGCACCGGTGAGAGACTGAACCACCAAGTGAAACTGAGAAGAAGTTGAATATATAGATCTCAAGTTTTCAAGAGAGGTCTGGGCAGAAAGTTCATATTTGGGAGCCATCATTATATAGGCAGTAGCCTGAAGTAATATGTTTTCTAAAGTTATATGGGTAACTATAGAGTGAGACATCTAGATGGCCAACAACATACCAGGAAGAAAAAGAGGAAAAAAAAAAAAAGAGCCATGAAGATGAGTAAGAGCAGAGAATGGGAGAATGGGAAGAGTGATTTCACAGAAGCCAAAGCAAGCAAGTATTGGCACCATCGGATGTTGCCAAGAAAATAAGAGAATTGATTTTTTTTTTTTATATTTGGCAACCTGGAGAAAATGTATGACAGGGTAGAAGACATCCATTATTTTTGCCTGTCCTACATACCCTCCTTCTTCTGATAACAAAATTTCCATTTTCCTTTAGAGAACTGTTTCCCATTGCATGAAGCCATGTCAGTCCTGACAGTCAGGACTGTCAGCCTATGTTGCCTGCCCTCTCTTGGACAGAGGGTGGACATGTGACCTAATCCAGGTCACTCAGACTCTGTCTTCTTGGATTTTGAATTTTGAGTGGACTGTTTGGTAAAATAGCTATGTTGGGAACACTCTTAGATGCTTCTGTCTTCAAGATTTATCAGTGTGATGAGATAATGAAATAGTACAAGTATAAATATTTTTATCTTGGTTATAACATCAAAAATAAGGTCAAGGAAGATATTTGGTTATGAAGTTTGCTCTAACAAGTAAGATTAGTTTATTGGTGTTTTCTTAGCCTAGGTAAATCTCTATGTGATTGTTGCATTATTGAAGTAACTTAACTTGTTTTGTGTTTCAAGCCCATCACTCTACCCAGATCCTTGAAAGCAAAAAAAAAAAAAAAAAAAAAATCAGATTAGTTACATAATTGAGAAAATGTATCAGCTCTTTTCCCAATGGCAGACCTTAAAAATATGTCAGACTTGTTTATGAAAAGTCAACACTCAAATTATGTCTACAAAAGAATAGTGTAGCATAATGGTGAAGGGCCCAGACTCTAGAGACAGACCACCTAGATTCAACTCATATATTCCCTACTAACTAGGGACGCACGATATACATTTGTTGCACCATCAGTAAAATGGAGATGGTACTTATCTCGAGGGGGTCATTGAAAAGATTAAAGGAATTATTAAATCCAGTCTTAGAATAGTACTTAGCACATAGTATATATCAATTATTGTTATTATTGCTGATATGGTAGAAACAGCATCAATATTTGATATGTGAAGGGCTGATGTAAAATAGAAGTAAGATGAGAGCTCTGACAAAGTCATTGTTTTCAGTTCACATGAGCTTCATTGAACTTGGGACAAATCATCTGAATTGAGGTGGATGTGGTGTGGGACAGTTCGCACACCCAGGTTTCGTTTTGAGTGTTAAATGTGTGCAAATATGAAAATTCAAGGTTAGACTTAGAGCAAAACTGCCAAGTTTTAGACTACTCATTTCAAAACTAATTAATGTATTCAATTTGGGGGCAAACCCTGTTAACCAGTTTTGCTGTTTTTTTAGCAAAATTTACAACAACAAACCTTTTTTTCTTCCCTTCTTTCATTTTGGATCCTGGTTTGTGACATATTTTCATCTTCAGTCCATACATAGCCTGTTTTTTAGCTTTATAGTTACGTTTAATAATGTAGTAAGTGCCTATAAATCCACCACCCAAAACAAAAGTTAAGATTTTGACAATAATCTGTATCTAATTAATGTCCTAACCACATCCATTCTCCACTGCCCTTCCGTCCTCCTGACCACCCTTGTTTGAATTTTTTGGTCAGCCTTTCTTTGCTTTTCTTTTTAAGTACATGTTTTTACTTTAGTTGTTGCTGAAAGAGAACATAATGTTTTATGTAACATCTTGGGTTATATATTTTTCCACTTGATAATATCATGGATTATATCAGTATAGAAAATGACCTGAGTGTTTCCTTGTTTCTGAAACTCCTAACTTCCTTCCAAATTAAAATCCAGTGATTATGGCATCTCTCGTCAATAGTAGCCATATCTTATAGACATTGAAGAGTAAATTTTTCTGGCCCATCCACTGGACTATACAAGACGAGGTTAACCCAAAACTTAGATTGAATATCAATTTCTTTAAACATGTCCAAATTAGGAAAACATTTTTCTGTTGCCATTTTTCATTTCTTCAAAATCAGCAACCTGTATTGGTTATTAAGTAGGTCACCTGAATTGTGCACTGGATTTTCTTAACTTTCATCTCCTGCTTTCTCATTTTATTTTAGTGTCTGCCCTTATAAATGAGAATGTATTGTGTTTCACACAGTGGAACTGTCCTTTACAAATGAAAGGAGCAGAATAAATCATTTTACAGTATATGTGGAACAAGTAAAGATAGCCTAAGATATGCAACCTTTACATTCCCAAACAGTACTGGCACAGGTACAATTTAGAGAAAGCAGTGATAATCAGGAATAAGTTATGGTCTTTCCTGTGATCATTGGCTTCAGTTTTTGATCTCATCTGCCTCAGATGTTACTGTATCCGTAAACATCCTTGGACATTATTTTTACTCAAAAACAATTTGATAAGTTCTTTGTACTGTGAACGTCCATATCTAATGTATCTCTGAGCTAATCTGTTAGCCCACAGCAATTTAGACAAATGGGATGAAGAGGGAGCAGCTTTGGAGAGTTTATGTCAAGTGAATTAGAGCAGTTTAGTGAGCAAATATGCCAGTTTGGAAATGGAATTTTTTATCCTGCTGAAGAGCTCTTTTTAAAATAAATTGCAATCATAAAGCGGCCACAGTTTATTATGTGTAGACATGTTCAGAATTGGAACTCCTTCATGAAGGCTGCTTTGTGCAGGTATTTATCTACTGCCAATAGGGCTAACAGCTCACTCAGCTCATCAGTAGAAAATCTGCTACAGGAAAATACACGGGTGAAAAAAAACTGGTTAAATATCGTGCTGTTATTCCGTGTGTCTGTTTAAGCTTTCCTGCAAAACAAGTTGACTTAAATTGTTTTAGAAAAAGTCCAAAAACCTTGAAAATAGTGCAGTCTAAAAGTGGTATTGATTTTAATCAATGTTAAAAACACTTTCAGAGGAGTAAGATGAGAAACAAGATCAACATGTTTGCCACCAATAGTGACCAACAGTTTATGTCATTGATCTGAGAGTGACTCGGATAAAAACAAATCGTGTGTGTGTGTGTGTGTGTGTGTGTGTGTGTAAAATTAGAGAGTGTACTTTAACACTAAAGATTATTCTTTCTACTTTTATTCAAGCATACTAGCTTATGTTTAACACATACCAAGGTGGCACATCCAGCTTTATATCTTTTAAATGTTGAAGAAATTATCAGATTGCATTTTTTGTATGGTTTTGCATAGTACCTCCTATGGAAGATTGTAAGGAACAAGAGCCTATCATGGACAACAATATTTCTCTGGTGCCTTTTGAGAGACCTGCTGTCATAGAGAAGCTCACAGGGAATATGGGAAAACGTAAAAGCTCCACTCCACAAAAGTTTGTGGGTAAGCATTACAAATAATTTTACTTCTTAAAAGGTGGTTTTAACGAGCAGAAGTAGGTTCCATGTATTAGAAACATAGATGGTATATTTCAGTTCAAGAGATAAATACCCATCTCTTTTGTCCATTATTCATTCCTACTTTATGCTGTTCCATGGGTACCACACTTACACACACACACACCCTTGGGTGTATGGGCCTAGGAAATAAAAAAAGACTGATAAAATTTGCTATCTCAAAATGAAATTATATAGAAAGTATAATAGTATATAAAATAAAATGTTCATTTATGTACAAAATAAAAATACTTAAGGAAAATGGTGTCATCTATAAGCTAGTTTTGTAATCTGTTTTCCAGTTTCCATTAGTGCCACATCTTTAAACTCTTTTCTTTACATGGTATTAATGCTTTTGCTATTTGATCTGGAATTAAGAGAAATCTTCCCCCCCAAATTCTTCATTAGAAGAATAATGCAGCAACCTACATTCAAGAGCCTTCATATTTGGATCTATCTTTCATATGTGGATCTTTGTTTTCATCTGCCCTATGGTTTAAAACAAAAAGATTAAATATGATGTATTTAGACTTTTCTTTTTCATTTCCAAGCCCTTAGATATTCTTTAATACACTCAGAGTTGGCATCATTCTGTACACTGTAAGTCATAAAGTGTCTCTAAGGATGCAAAAAGCATCCAAGTTTTTTAAGAATGTCTAAAAATAGTGATTCTGTATAAGGAATTGCCATTAATTATATATGTAATATATCTATTCTTACAGACTTTATATAGGGTAAAAATTAGAAAAGAAAGATTTTCAAATAAATTCTCACATTCTAGTGTCAAAGAGTATTGCAGAACATCCTGCTATGTGTTGAGTGGTGAATGGGAGAATATATTCTCTTTGGTTATTTCAGGGAGGGAAGGCTAATAAAGTTCTTTTACTCCAGTAATCACTTAGAGAAGATTTCCTTCCAATCTAAAATTGAAGAACTAATGACCAAAATATTTTAAGACAAGCTGGAGAGAGTTATTGACAGAGCTCATTGGAAAAAAGGCTAGAGAACAGCCCTAAGGGATCACAGTTGATCCTAGGTCAACTTAAAGCCCCTGCAAGAATACTCAAAGGCCTGCCTTGGGCCCTAAGTAACTTTTATTTCTGCTTTCTCTCTTCCTTTTTATAAATAACTATTTTTTAAATGCCATCTCATCTATTTTTTAAATTGATCAATTTAATTGATGTCCATTAAAATGCCTGTATCCCAACTAGACACTAGTATGTTGGGAAAATGTCTTTATGTCTTCTGAATGTATTTAGTTCTGTTCTTTGAAATATTTTTGTTTCCTATGACTTAGAGATACTAGTTTCAATTTGATTTAGAGGGACAGATTTTTTTAGATTACATTTTGATTTTTAAAAATTTCTAAAAAAATAACAGATTTTTATTAGGAATTTAATGGTATTTTTTATTTGAATTATCCTTTGAAGTAAAATATAAAAAATAATCACACACTATCTGATTTTTTTTATAAATTCCTTTTTACCGTGTTCCTCAGTTAAATACTGTTCTTTGACCTTATCAAGCCTTCCAGACCAACGATCCCCGAACTCTCTGCATATCTTTTTGTGTCCTCCTTTCTTTTTCTTATCCAGCTTAGGTTCCATGGTTAATCACTTTTACCACTCTCTTGACAATGTTCTTGACTGTCTTACTTTGTTGCCTTTCTATCACCTCCTCCTGGTGAAACTCCACTCTCTAGTGAAAAGAGGAGCATCTTTCTCATATCGACAGGACTGATAGTACTTGTGGAGAAAACCCCACAGCCTTACAAATTGGTGTCACTATAAATCAATGAATAAGTGATCTCCAGTATCAGTTGTTCCATCCATATATGTAGCTTTAATTTTAATCCATTCTTCGACAGTCCTCTCTCCTGCTCAGCCCTGTAGCCATTTCAACATTTCTTCATTCTCCACAAACATTTTATCTCACTCCTTGATGGTATATCTCAGCTTACAGGAATAAAATCAGTCAAAATAGTTTCAATATAATATCACTAATCTTATAAAGATTATCTGTATTTATATGAATACTTTCTTTTTTTCCTCTGTTTGAATGAAAGAAGTATCCCTCTTTCTAATTAATGTTAATTCCTCTTCTTGTGCTCTGGAATTCTCCTTTCCCAGTCCCCCAAATATCTTACATTGTTATTCCTTTTTCTCACTTATATTTTCAACCTCTCCCCTCTCTTGGCATTTTCCTTTTTGTATGTAATACGATAAATTCTCATCATTAAAAAAAAAACAAACTTCCCTTAAACCCAAGTCTCCTTCTAGCTACTACCTACTTTTTCCTTCTCTTCAAAAATGGAGTTGTTGAAAGTGTTCTCTATGCTTGCTTTCCATAATTTCTTTCTTTCTACTCATTCCCCAGTTTCTGCCACTTGGCATTCTTCCTCATTGAGGTCACCACCAGCTTCCATAGTGCCAGGTGCAGTGGACCCATTTTAGACTATCTTACACAACTTTTTTTTTTTTTTAAGATTTTATTTATTTATTTGACAGAGAGACACAGCAAGAGAGGGAACACAAGCAGGGAGAGTGGGAGAGGGAGAAGCAGGCTTCCCACGGAGCAGAGAGCCCGTTGCGGGGCTCGATCCCAGGACCCTGGGATCATGATCTGAGCCGAAGGCAGATGCTCAACGACTGAGCCACCCAGGTGCCCCTATCTTACACAACTTCTAGAGAGCATTTGCCACTCTTGAATAAATAATTCCTTTTGAAATACTTCTTTCCTTGGTGTCCATGACATTGATCTCTCTTGCATTTCTTCCAGCTTCTTTGCTCCCTCTCAATCTTCATTATGAATTTACCCTTAACAGCTATGCAAATGGAGCAAAGGTACTAATGGAGGCCTCCATTCGTGTGCCTAAATATTTTAATATTTTAAATCAAGCTGAAAAACTATTGTGTTCTACCTTCCTGACTTGGAAGATTGAGTTCAAATAAATATAGAATCCTCAGATTCCTTAGAGTTCCACACCAGACCTTGACAGCATGAGCAGAACCACTGCCTGACCTGCAGCCAGACCTCTCTTAGACCTACCTCTGGTTCTGTCCAGTACCAAAAGGGGCCTCATGCCCACGTATGTAGACGCTCCAGCCTACTCATTCTAGACCCCACACGTAGCACACAAAGAGTAGTGTGTTGGCCACTCCTCAGGCCTAAGTGTGTGAATACCAGCAGTACAAATTGGTACTCAGGAGGATAGACCCTTTGATGAGGACTGTGCTAACCCTTGATGCAAGCTCAGTGCCATTTGGGCAAGGAATTCTGGGGTCCTGGGTATCCAGGGTATGGTCTAGGGAGTAATCTCCAGATAGGCACATTCCCTTGGCTATATACATTCCTCATTCCATGAGGAGCAAAAAACTCTGTAAACATGGGGCCCAGTGCAAGAATCCAACTTGCCTTGATCTATGGGCAGGCATTAAAAATCTTGGTGTTCTTCCAGGTTCTATTTTTGACCTTCTCTTCTTCACACTTTACCTATGCGTGGGTTATATCTTCTATTCTTGTGGCTTCAGAAATCACTTTCTATCAACTGATGACTTAGATATCTACATCTCAAGTAGAGGTCTCTCTCCAAAATTTGAGACTATATATTGGTAGTTACTGGACCATGACTATTACTCAGCCTTTCCCAACATGAACTCATCATCTTTTCTATCTCATTGCCATCCACTAAGTTTCCTAGGCCAGAAACTTGGGCTCCATGTTTAATTTCTTTCTCTTACTCATGTTCTATGTCACCATGTCTATAATCACCAAGCCCTAGAAACTATATTTTCTAAATTTCTCTCCATCCCATCCAATTTTCTCCATTTCCACTGCCACTGTACTAATTCAGGCCACCATGATCTTTATGGCAATAACTTCCTCAACCATATCAATAAATACCTAATCAAGTCACTTCCCTGTTTAATCCTTTTAATCCTTATGGCCCGTGGGATAAAATTCCAATTCCTTAGCTGTTGAATGAGCCCTTTTATTATCTTTTCCATCTTTCTCATCTATTCCCACTCTCAGCTATATAGTGAAACGTAAGTAATCCCTTGAACAAGTCATGCCGTCTTCCTCCGAGCCTTCCAGGCTCCACCCCCACATTCCTTTACTTAGCTAGTATTTGTCATCACATATCCCTGATGCCATTTTCTTCAAGAAGTCTTCTTTTACTCCCCTAATTATATATTCCTTTTATTTGACCTCATAGCATATATCACACTGTATTAATAATGATCCCTAAATTGCTTTTGGGGATTTGTTTGTCTAGCTCAACTTTTAAACTCTTAATATTGTGATAAATTGAATGCCATGAGATAAGGTCTCATCATTTTTTTCTTCATTACTCTGATCATTACCCTGATCTCACTTTGGGGACCTCTCTTCAAATCTGAAATTAATACTAGCTATCCAAAAGTGCTTTTCCAGAATGCAGTTCTGTGGATCAACATTTTTTCATCAACATTACAAATTAGGCATCCATCTATAACAACATACTAAACATTTATAAGAAGTCCACATATATTTTTAAGAAGTCTTTATCTGTGAGATTTACCTATCAAAGTAACCAGGCAATTAGTAGGAGACCGCATTTAGTGACAGAATTTTAAAAAGATAAAATATGCTGTCCAAAGCTGGCAATATTTAAAGGAGAAAAGTTAAAATTACTTCTCCTACTTTATGCACAGAACTCTTTCATGGCTAATCTTGAAGTAAAATATAAATTTGTTGAAGTAAATATTAAAGGGAAAACTACAAAAATCCTTCAATCAAGATAAAGTATAGAAAATTAACAATGGATGTACATACCAGCACCATTGCCCATATGTCTGAATAAGGAAGGGGTGGTGTAAAAATGATTAATTCTCCATTTCAAGAAGCAAAACAACAAAACATAGTATTTTCCAAGTTTATAAATAAACTACTTTTGGAAATGACTCCTATATTTAAACAGTCCTAAATTTCATTCAGTTTATCAAACAATACAACCTTTTTTTTTTTTTTTTTTTTACAGAGAGAGAGAACGCAAACACAAGCGGTGGGGAGGGGGCCAAGGGAGAGGGAGAGAGAGAATCTTAAGCAGGCTCCATGCCCAGCATAGAGCCCGACCTGGGACTCCATCTCATGACCCTGAGATCAGGACTTGAGCCGAAATCAAGAGTCAGACTCTCAACCGACTGAGCCACCCAGACACCCCCAAACATTACATCTTTTAATGGTATTTTAATGGTGATTTTTTTTAATTCTCCAGGGTGACATATACAGGCTTTATAATTTTTTTTCTAATATAGCCATTAAATCCACCAAATTAACCCTATATAACAGTGAGGTGACAGAGGTTATAAGCAGATCACTCTCACTTTTGTGATCTTTGTGGCTTGGTCACTGATGTCTAAAATATGCAAAATAGGCATAGTTTCTGACTTATTTTCACCTGGTATTTCTTCTTTTGCCTATAGTCGCTGAGCTGTAGATAAGTGGAAATTTTAATTGAGAATGAAAATAATACAGTCAATCATACCTTTCAGCCTAGATGCATTTTCATGATGGCATTAAAACAAGTGCAAATGGCTTGTGAAATTCTTATTACTAATCCTCTTTGCAGGTTGAGAGTATTTGTGAGTCTCAGCAGAATTAAAGAGCCCAAATGCTTGATCTAAAAAATAAGATTATCATATTATAGAAAATGGAGACGATTAACTTTGTACATTTATATTTTAATCCAATCACTAATTTTGTTGTATTTTGTTTTACTTTTCTCGCCGTCCTCCTTTCAGGGGAAAAGCTCATGCGATTCAGCTACCCAGACATTCACTTTGATATGAACTTAACATATGAGAAGGAGGCTGAGCTAATGCAGTCTCATATGATGGACCAAGCCATCAACAATGCAATCACCTACCTTGGAGCTGAGGCCCTTCACCCACTGATGCAGCACCCGCCAAGCACAATCGCTGAGGTGGCCCCAGTTATAAGCTCAGCTTATTCTCAGGTCTATCATCCAAACAGGATAGAAAGACCCATTAGCAGGGAAACCTCCGATAGTCATGAAAACAACATGGATGGTCCTCTCTCTCTCATCAGACCAAAGAGTCGACCCCAGGAAAGAGAGGCCTCACCCAGCAATAGCTGCCTAGATTCTACTGACTCAGAAAGCAGCCATGATGACCACCAGTCCTACCAAGGAAACCCTGCCTTAAATCCCAAGAGGAAACAAAGCCCAGCTTACATGAAGGAGGATGTCAAGGCTTTGGATACCACCAAGGCTCCTAAGGGCTCTCTGAAGGACATCTACAAGGTCTTCAATGGAGAAGGAGAACAGATTAGGGCCTTCAAATGTGAGCACTGCCGAGTCCTTTTCCTAGACCATGTCATGTACACCATTCACATGGGTTGCCATGGCTACCGGGACCCACTGGAATGCAACATCTGTGGCTACAGAAGCCAGGACCGTTACGAGTTTTCATCACACATTGTTCGAGGGGAGCACACATTCCACTAGGCCTTTTCATTCCAAAGGGGACCCCTATGAAGTAACGAACTGCACATGAAGAAATACTGCACTTACAATCCCACCTTCCCTCAGATGTTGACATACCTTTTTTTGTTGTTTAATATTATTACTGTCATTAATTCTTATTTCGTGGACGCAGTGTCATTTGCCTGCCTAATTACAATACGGAAGAAACAGAAGAGAGAAGGGACAAGGGATATTGTTTCTTGATAACTTGGCTTGTTTATTTTGTGGGAATTTAAGAGCAGTTCCATTTCTGCCACGCATAAATATAAGGTATATCATGCTTTGAAAAAAAATCACTTGATTCATATAGATTCACCTGAGAGATTCTAATTTGCCACTGATGTTCAGGATTATGATTGAAGGCAGGAAAGTTTAGAGTTTTCTGGGTAGAACTTTCTCAGTTTAAAGTGGTATAAGTAATTTTACTCTTCAAGGAAGAATTTTGTTTCAAAATATAAACTGTTTTTTTTCCCCCTCTAGAGATCATGGTACACAAACACATTGTTATTTTCAGAGATAAACTCCTTGGATGAGTTGTTGTGGATTCTATGTTTACTTCCCCAATGGAATTTATAATACGGTATGTTATACACTGTACCATATAGCAAAACTTTTGAACTACAGGTAGTTAAGGATACCTACAATACATCTGAGGTCCTATGATCTTATTTTTCTAAACTTAAGCACTGTTTTCCATAGTTTTGATGACTGGCATTTTATAGACACCCTGGCAGCCTTACTTTTAACACCTTTAATGAATAGTATTTTTATCTAGTTTTCAGAATAACATATGGTCTAAGAGTGGCTAAAAGGCAGTTAGTAGTTTCCAGAAAGGACCTCTACTTTTCATAAATTTGGGAAGTTTTCTTTTAAAGTTATAATGTGATGGCAGCACAGTATGCGTATTTGTTTCTAAAAGTATGCTTACGATTGTCACTTTATCAGCATTTAATCAGTGTTAACCAGTCAGCAGAAAAATATAATTAGGCTAACAGTGGGGTTGGGGGGGGACCCACTCAGCAATCCCTTTTCTAGTATGTCTCTTTTCACTGGTTTTTTTCAAGCTGTGACCACCCAGTGTTCTATCTATAGTCCATTATCTTTTACTATTTGAGTGGGAGATCATAAAAATCTTGCTATAGGTTTTTGCTTTCCAAATCTCAAAGCAATTACTAATTCCACCTGAATGTGGTAACTTGAACCCCATAAGGTTATGGAACTAGGGCTATTTATTCTAGTATTCCTTCAGTAATAATAGTTACCACTTTTGGTGCACGGAAAAGGGAACTTCTTTGTAACTTGTACATTAGACTACAGATAAACAAAAAACAAAGCTTATTTTTACCCTTCTTGGAGTCTAGAATGTAACCTAACCTCCAAGTGAAAGTCACCATGTCCTGCACATTTTTCTGTCTTGAAAACATTCAACTATTTATAAGTCCTTGTCAGAAATGAATCTCAATCCTTTAGTAAAAATTTTCTCTTCTTTTAATCCTTGCATATGTTGCCATTTTTCATGTGCAAATTTTTTATTTCGTTTATAAGGGTGCTATTTTTTCTCTGCAGTCCAACAGCATTAAAGGGGAACCAGATGAGATCAAGTCATTTGGGGGGGCGGGGAGACACACTTGGATGCGGAACATGCTGCTTGTGTTGAGGGAGGACAGTCCTGTCCGTGACTGGAATATCTAATAGCCATTTTTGAATACTGGTTCAGTTAAGCAGTAACTGATAACTGCTCTAAAAAAATATCATTAAATAGGATGCTGAAACTATGTTTCTTAATACAGATGCTGTGAGAACTAGCAAGATTAGAGACGTATGGACAGAGAAGCAAACCTGGCCCCAATACTGCTCTTTACTCATTTTCTTATTTATCATCTGCTGATTTAAGTGACTTCTAAGCACTAACACAGGTTAGAGCTAGGCAAAAAAGATTATAACTCAGCTCTCCTTTACTGGCCCCTCTTGTAATTATTTTTGGAGAAATGTCCAAACTGTTCCTTTAAATCAAAGAGAATGTACCAAAACAGAGACATGAAATATTTTAAATAGAATGTCAACTGTCTTTCTCCGCCCCCCCGGCCCCTCCGCTGCATGCTTTGGTACATTGTGAACATACAATATGTCCAAAAGTAAAGCATGTTTTTGAGACTCCCTTACTGCCCCTACCCTAACCACTCAAGAAAATTGGAATTTCATATATTTTTTTTTTCCTTTTTGGAGGAAGGTAAATAAAAGTTACTGATTTTGTGTCTTACTGCAATTTAAGGAAGCATTTGGATGGCAGATAATATGTTCATCACTTTGTGTGTGGATCTCTGCTGGCATCACCTAGGAATTTTTTTCAGTGTATGAACAATCATGTACCTAACTGCCCTGGGATGAAGCTGAATTTTAGGTGGACCTAAAGAGTTGTATAGTACCCCCCTGAAGACAGTACTAATGTATACTCTGTTTCTCATTTCATCTCTTTGGAAATCTCTTTTATGGAAGGGACTGAATATTTGTGAGAGTGTATTTGCTACAAGTGTATACTTGTATTTTCTTAGTTTCACTATATGAGGAACAGAAAGAGGTAAAGATGTCTCAGGGTGTGGCAGGGACAAATGAGGACGAGGTCAATTCAAATGTGCAGGTTAGAAAGAATTTTTGTGGGCACAGTGCTTTCTGGGAAACTCTGAATGGCTATATTTGCATGCCTCCTTCACAAAAGGAAATATGCAAGTTGTTAGGGCCTAAAAATAAATATGAGAGTCAGACACCAAATAAATCAAGTTTTACATAACATTATATGCCCAGTTTATTTAGGTGAGATTTCACATTACAGAGTACTTGAGGGGCATGAAAATGGGTTAGCCTCTCTTTTCTAGTTTGGCAAAAATTCAGAAATTCATCACATTGCTTTGCCCTAATTTTGCCCAGAAATTTATCTCCAGCTCCTGTTGGAGATGTGTGCTGCCTCTCCCTAATAGTGGTCAATCACTTTTAAAAAGCCATTCTAATATGGCTTTTTAGAACAGTGAAAATGACCAATAAGCAGATTGGAAGAAATTTCAAGTTGTTAAAACATTCCGTTGAGAATTTTCTGGTGGGACAAAATGAGAAAATGAGAGACCGGGATTTAGATTTGGCTACAAAGTAGGGAATGTCTTTCCTAGAAACGTACAAGCAATTGTAGGTGTGCAACAGTGTATGTCTGTACACACGTACACACTCTTAAAGAAAAGTCATGACAAGGAGCAATTAGTGACCACATGTATTGCAATAGCACATAAAGAGTTAAAATTATAATTAACGCCTGAGCAATTTAGGAAATTTACCTGATTGTATTAACAAATATTAAAGAAGTTATTAGTGTGTCTTTAGGACTAGTTCAACTATTAAACCTTGGGTCTTTACAATCTATTTCCAGAAAAAATCAAAACAAACAAAAAGATCTTTAAGCTGTTTTGGTATAACTTCCAAAGTGAAAGAAACACAAATAACTTTTAAATAGGAAGATACAGAAAAGAAAAATGATTACCTTTTACTTGTTGGCAAATGGAGAAAGACTGGAATATTTTAGTGAGCTTGATGTTGTTTTTATTTAGTTATTGTGTATTGGTTCTACACCTCACAAAACTATGAAGTCTTTATATGTTATAAAAGTTTGACAAAATATACATTAGTGAAGGCATCTAGATGAAAATCATGTTTTATTCTCCAAATGTTATTTCATCCTGTCTCCAAAATGATTCCGTAAAGTAGAAAAAGAACAGAAAAGACTGCAAAAATATAAACAAAAATCTGCATGCCCCTAGTTTCAAGACAGAATTTAGATTATAAGAGGTACTGGCTACATTATTGTTTTTTTACTTTGAAATGTTCATTTTACAAAAAGGGATATGTTACATATGTGGTCATCTTTAGTTACATTTTATATATTGTTTTAGTAAGTACTATATGCAATTATCAAAAAAAAAAAAATCCCCAAACGCAAAAGAAAGAGTAGGGGTGAAATTGAAGTTTGTATATATGAGAGTTATCTTAGAAATGTTTTTAAACCTCCAGTTTCTGCAAAATAATTAAAATATACAGTAACTGGTATCTTAAGATCCTGAATTTAACGTATTAAATACTTATAAAATTTCTTTATATTGGTGCCTTTTTAAAATGCATTGAGAGAGTGTTGGTTAGCTACTGTAGCTCTACAAACACTTTTATTATGTATTTTTAAAAACCACTTAAATTTGAGTACTATATAATACATCTTCGTGTTCTTAGGGCAAAATTGTTAGAGGAATTTCCAATACAGAGAATTTCAGCTCATCTGTTTTAAAGTAAAAGGAAACTTTGAAACCAGTTTTTAATCTTATTAGTTTGATAGTATTTCTGAATACCATTACAAGATCACGTAGGTAAAATATGGCATAGAGGGAAATTTCAGCTGTGAATTGCATTATGGTATGTGTTTTTGTTTTGTTTTTAAGGAAGAATAAGTTCTAGTATCACACAAGGCTTTATTAGTGGAATTTTTGGTCAATAAAATACAGTATTGTTTTGGAATTTACAGACTAGTGTTGTACTAGTCTGAGAACCACTGTCTCCTAATCTGTTAATGTTTTATGGAATAATGTAAAGAAGCAGGTAATTAATTCTCCTTGAACAAAACAAAACTGAACAGTCATATCACATTGCTATTCTCCAAAGCATAATCTCAAATGGTTTCCTACCATGATTGTGTATTACTTGCAATAGATGTGTTAGGATATGACAGCTTTTAAAAAACAAAAACAAAAACAAAAAAAACAAGCTGCTTATTATACAAAGCAAATGTCATATGACCAAGAAGCTGTGATATGCTAGTGTTTCTTTTTATCATAGTATATTACTAGGCCAAATAATGACACCTTGAATATTTTTACATTTATTGCAGAAACCTAAAATTTTGGGATTTCCGTAAGGTTTTTATGTAACATTATATTTGTAGCTTTTTAGTTTTCTCTTGCTGTACTGTAAGTCTATGGATATTTTTCACATGCACTCTTAGAAATAAGTTCCTAATTCTGTTTATGGGGTTTTCCTCCCATAACATTGCATTTGTATATTTTCTGTATAAATTTGTTGTGAATTAACCTTTACCCCATACAGAGAGTGGTACGTGAATGACTAGTTTTCTAAGATGTCCTTTTTATTGTGAATAAAATATAAAATTTAGAGGCCCTCTGCTAAGCCACATAAAATACAACATATAACTTCATAAAGGTACAGATAAGCCAGTTTGCAGTTAATTGGGCCCTTCAAATTACCTCAAGTGACACACAGTAAGAAAAGCTTCTCAAACGGGTGCAGGTCACTGAATCCCCTACTATGCACTTATCAGGATTCTACTTAATTTACTGGAAATGGATTTTTAAAAAATGAATACACTGTAACAAGGGAAGGACTCTGGGTTTGGGTTCTTGTTGTTTTATTATTTTGTGTATGTTTTTTTAAGTAGTTCAGTTTCTGAAACTGTGATAAAACATTTTGACTGTCAAGCACGCTCAGATTTTGAACATAAATCACTTCCCCTTCTGTGTAACGAAGTTCTTTGTTAGCTCTTAAGTTTTGTCTCTTCCCCCATCCCCTTTGCTCCCCTGTCTGTGTCATCCCTGGCCTCTGGACAGCTCTGCCTCTCCTTCCCCCACTAGTGTGACGATTAGGTCAACTCTTCCGATTCATCAGTCTCTTAAGTCTTAACATTTTTTGTGTGATTTTTGTTGGCTGTATAATTTACTGACATATTTTTATACTCAAGTGTAGTTTTATATTAAAAAGAGAAGTAGTTGGATTAAACATAGTAAGGTATATAACCCTTGTGCTACTTTCACTTTCAAATGTTGGGTACCTAAAGTAGGACTTCAGAGATTATGTCATCATAATATGGTATGTTTGCCTTCCTTTTTAGTTGGGTTTGTGTTCTGATTTGGTTTTCCTTCTAAAATGTATGAGAGATTAAACGATTCTTTGCAAGAATTTAGAAAGATGTTAAAAGTCTAAAGCAAAAAGTCTTAACTGTCTCCCAGTTGGGAGAAAATGCTTTAACATTACTATAATAATATTCCAGGTTTGGAGGGGGCTCTCCAGGCTTCATATCTGCTCTTAATAGTTGAATCTTTTAGACCATGTGTTATTTGCAATCCCAGAATGATTGCTTCTGCTATTTAGTTCAAAAGATATTTTTCTGTTCTTTCTGTACAAGTGCAATACTTTCCTTGAAGTCTTAAAAACTATGGTTATTTTTTTTTAACTGACCTATTCTTTCTTTAGTTAATGACAAAAAGAAACCCTTGAAAATCATGGTATGTTAGTTAAAGGACACAACAGGCAAAGAAAAAATACTCCATAGTCAAAAGATTAGAGAATGTTGAAAACACTAGTCTAATCTTATGGTATCTATATTTAGGCTAAATTTTCACTGGAATTGGTAATCTTTTGCCTGGGAAATGTGTCCTAAAGTTGAAAAAGTTGCAGTTCTTAAAGACTGAATTTTCTTCTTATCCTTGCCCAGTGTTTTAAATATTTTTTATTTCATTTTCCTTCTTTTGGAAATGAACTTTAAAATAAAAGCAAAGCACTTAGCTCAATTTTAAACACCTATCACCTACTGAAGACAATTTTTAAGAAATATTTGGAGCACTGTTTTCATACAAATTTAAGTAAGTATTTTTCGTATCATACATATTTATATGTAGAATGCTGGTTTTCTTTTTTTATACCTGTGTCCCTGTAGTAAAACTGCTGTAATGTAAATACATGTTTTGTTAAAAGATAACATTTCTTTGGCATTTCTTTTAAAGGCAGTTACTGCATTTGTATAGTATGTGTCTTGGCCATTTTAGATTTTTTTCTTTAACAATACCAAAGGTAATTAGACTACTTTAAAAACTAATTGCTTGACAGTTTCTAGGATATTTTGAGTTTTAGAAGCAAAAGAAAAAAAAAATAGGTCAAACCAGTAAACCTCATTTTTTTTCAAACTAATAATTTGGGAAAATAAAAACTGTTTAAAAAAGAAATATATATAAATATATATGTAAAATTAAAATTCCAGACCTTGTATGTCAGGTTTGCTCAGTGTAATGTAGTTTTTTTATGGCTCAAATACAATACCTCAGAAAATGAGGTTTACTATGGAAATACTGAAACAGTCTTTGTAGCTGTGTGACGAGTCACTCTGCTATATTACCAATTTGGAGACCTCTGCTAAACAGTTTTATCACTGCAGACTAAAATGTGGGACTTGTATTTTCTTTGTTTTTAATGTACACACGTACATGCTCTGTGCATGTGCGTGGGTACCATGTATACGTGTATGAGTGTTGTATATGCATGTGTGAGTGTGTGTATGTGTGGACAACTAAAGAAGCTGCAGAAACTTTGTAATACTTTGTGAAAAGGATTATATTATAAAGGTTTGTACTGTCTGAGTGCACAGCTACTGGAATAAATTTAGGGAATCTCAGGAACAAGCATATAATTTGTCCAAGATTTATTTCTTCTCAGAAGTGTAAGTGCAGTTTTTAATTCTGTATATTATTTAATATTTTACCAATAAAATAAACTTCTGACATAAAAAGTTTGCTATAAAAGCTTTCTGGTGAGAATTCTGTACACAAACACATCTTCCAAGTACAGAAGATTAAACTTGAATAATATCAGGCTTAAGTTACTGTCCTTGTGTATACATACATGTCACACTGCTTGACCCAGAGATATGGGTGCACTGGAGATCAAGAATCTCCATCTTTACTATGTAGTCCCTCAGAGCAGAGTACAAAGTAGTCCATGACTTGTTAAGGATGGCATCTCTTTACTCTTCCAACAGTTTTCATATATATCTTATTTTACCCTTAAATCTAAGAGGTATGTATGTCAGAGCCTATCCTCTATATATTTATAGAAGAAAGTTGTTGCTCCAAAGTACACAGTAAATTATGCAAGGAATTCAACAAATGGTTCAATAACCATATTGGAAAACAGCATTTCTTAGGAGTCAGACCAAGATTTAAGAAGGATTAAGTCAGAGACATGGTTCAATCACACTGGCAAAAATGTAGATGTCTGTTCTGCTTTATGTTACACTATCACTATATGAATCATACACTTCTCAGATTTTATAAATGCAGCTTATGTTTTTCCATGAGAAGTTTGTTCTGTTACCAGTGTCTTCATAACCAGAAATGTAAAAGAACATATATGACTGCTCATTTACCTTTAGCTATGTGCTTATCCTCCATGCCAATTTCAAGCCCACCATCACATTTGAGTTACTAGAATTTTTCTTCATCAGTAAGCATTTATAAATTTTTGTGGATATTTATCACATTTCCCAATAATTTCACATAGAATGAAAAGAACTACACATTCAATGACATTTTACTTCCTTGACTGTCTTTTAATTCAAAATACCTAACTCATAGGGGAAAAGACAAACAAAAGAAGTAGCGAGACAAAAAGAAGAAAAAAATATGAGCCTAACAAATTACTGTCTAGTATTACATTATGAAGAATTCCTTGAAGATCAACAATATTTATCAAGTTCATGTGTTTATAATGTTGACAAGAGCAAAATGAAAAAGACTTTTTAAAAAGATGCCATATGTTTTTGATTTTTCTATTGCAGTAGGGTCAGAGAAATTATAAATATTTTAATTCTCGATATGATTTTAAGATTTTATCAATATGCTCAAGACAAAGGGCTGTCTTTAGGGTATGAGCCACCTGGTAAAGGAAGTTCCTTTTAGCATTTTGGCAACTCTACATTTTGCTCTTAGGGGCTCTAAGAAGCACCCATTAAACTTCTAGCAATACCTCATGTTTTATTAATAGCCCCACTAAAAGGTCCCATTATGATTTGAACCTCTCACTAGAGGTACCAATGAGGATAACTGCTGAAATTGAATTTTGCTGCTTTTCTTCCATTTGGCACAAAACTTGAGGGAAGTGCTTCCCTAAACTAGCCTAACAGGCAGATGGGAGAAATTGATAAAGTGATAAAGTATCCATAATCCCACAGAAAAAAATGGGTAAAACAAAGGGGGTGGGGGGTGGGGAAGAGATCCTGGAAAATAAAAACATAATCGTCTGAGAAAAAGCAAGGTTAACTTTTTTTTTTTTTTTTTTTTTGTCCCTACTGTTGCTCTATAATCCTAGAATGTCTTAGATCAAACCAGCTCCTTCTAACTTGGAATTTTGTCAGGCACAGGAAAAGTGCCTCAAAACAGTAAAAGCGGAAACTGCCCATATTGTTGTTGAGTTGTTTGTTCTAGAAACCTTTAAAAGAGCTGTATGAACCTGATCATCTGACCGACTGGAACATATGCAAAGAAGCAAGATTTTTGGAAGAACCAGAGGTATTAAGGAAATATGGTAAGGGTACTGAATTGGGTAAGCCTATGAATGAAGTGGCAGGAATCACTTGTCATTTTACCTCAACTGATGGAGAGTGCAAGCAGAGTTAGCAGTCTCCATGGGGAGCGCTTCATGAACTCCATTGATGAGGAAGTAGAAGACTGTAAGAGGGAATGGGAATAAAGTCCGTATTATATTCATGCGCTGGGCCTACCACATATTGGTTTGGGTTTGGTGGATATAAAATCTTAAAAGACTATGGCCAACACAACTTTTATGAATGATGAAGTTTCCAACTCTAACATCCCCCATTCAAAGAAGAGATGGGGCACCTAGGGCGTTGGCTTTTAGAGCAGTAAAATTGGATGCACATCTTGGAAGTGGAGTGTGCTAGGCCAGGGAGTGAGTGTCCTTTTCCTCCTCCTGACACCCCACTTATTTTCCTGTTTTGTTTTTTTTTCGTGTAATTCATCTACATTTCTTTCTATCTCCTTTCTCATGCTCATCATCTGTGTCCACAATCTTTTCTGTTGTTCCCCTCTTTTCTGCATAACATGTGGTACCATTTGCTATCTGTTCTTCATCCTGTCATAATTCTGATTAATGTGAAATACAGAGTCTTTCAATACAAGTAATTTAATGCAACCAGAACATATATGAGTTTAAACTATGACCTTCTCCACAAGTACTTTGCAAATTAGTGCAATTGTTACTGACTTTATCTAATTCACTCTCAAAATTCTCGTGGAAAATGTAGGGTATCTGATACTTCATGTTATTGATAGGAAACAAGTTCAGGGTGGTTGTGATTTTGCTCATAAAAACCCCAAGCAAGCGAAAAAGCTAAAATAGATTCTAATTCCAGATATACTTAGCCCAGTATTTTATTTTCTAAACAAATTTATTCAACATTTGATTGGCAAGCCCCATTAACAAAGGGGGCAAGCAAGTCTATAGTATGAATGTTTGTGTCCCCCTCAAAATGTATTATGTTGAAATCTTAATGACATTTTGATCATATTAGGAGGTGGGGGGGTCTTTGGTAGTGATTAAGTTATGAGGGTGGAACCCCCATGAATCGGATTAATGCTTTTTTAAAAGAGACCCCACCGAGCTCCCTAGTTCCTTCCATCATATGGAGATTCAGTGAGAAGTCACCATTTATGAACTGGGAAGAGGGCCTTCACCAGAATGTGTCCGTGCTGGCACCTTGATCTTGGACTTCCAGCCTCCCAGGACTGTGAGAAATAAATTTCTTATTTTTAAGCTACCACCTTTGTGGCCTTTGGTTCTAGCAGCCCAATAGGACCAAGGCAGCAAATATTACGAAGTAGCAGATAAAAAAAATATTGTTTCAGCAGACATACCTTATAAGTAACGTTTCGTTTACTCTAATTTTTTTTACTTAAAGATTTCATTTATTTATTCATAAAGACAGAGAGAGAGAGAGGCAGAGGGAGAAGCAGGCTCCCAAGGTGCAGGGAGCCCGATGCGTGACTCGATCCCAGGATCCTGGGATCATGACCCAAGCTGAAGGCAGACGCTTAACCATCTGAGCCACCCAGGCGCCCTACTCTAATTTTTAAACAGAAGGATCCCAAATGAACTCAGAGCATCAGAAAGGCTGAGAAAAATAGCATTAAGTAGAAGGGCAACAATAACCTGGAATTGAGTTTTTTTCTGCAGATATTTTAAAAATGGATAAATTAACCCTAACTTGGTCTCCTAAAGACTACTTTTATACTTACATGTGGGTTTGTGATTATTTACCAAATTTCCTTCATCACTGATGTAATTTTTTGCCCATTTCTAAAACACTATCTATATCCCCATATTCATTTTCCTTCCTTATTGTAGAATGTAATTTCTGGTATTTACACTTTGTTTTCCAATGACTTCCTATGTAAAAACCTTAAGTCATCATGAACAATATGAAGTTATCAATACTGGAAGCTCTGGCCATGATATCCAAGTGTTTGCACTGATGAGCTATCATTTTATTATATCTTCCAAATTCAGTGAGCTGCCTAGACATTATACTACTCTGCTTAGGTGCTAAAACCTACCTATCAACTCACCTCTTTACTGTTAGTTCTGTAGCATAGAGCATTTCCAAGATTCCCTCCTAATCTCAACTCTATCCATAGTGAAGTGAGTGATACATTTGTAATAAAATCCAACCTCATGTTGTCTACCCTCAGGAATAAAACATGTACAACCCCTTGGAATTTCTTGGCTTTGACCTGACAAGTTTTTCCAGTCTTCAGGGATGGTTGCTGTAGTTACACCTACCATCATGTTCTCCTTGTTTGACTTCCACAATTTAAGTAAGTAACCTGATATTTTGACCTTCAAACAGTCTATTCCTTTTCTCTTCACCCCCCTTCACTGTTTTATTTCTATCAGATTGTAACATGCATATATATTATCATTTGATAACATTCAAGGGAGAAAAACTGGGACAGCAAATGACTCATGTTTTTCCAAAATCTTAGCCAAACTACCTTGTAGACATACTAACAAATGGTACTTTGGCTATGCCATAACACTGATATATTTTCCAACCTAAGCGTGTAAGCCCGGAGTCTTCTGCTTTCTTTAATGTTTTGACAAAACTGATTATAGCTAAGAATGTGATCACTTGATCACATAATGACTATGAGAAAAACTGCTTCATGCATGGGTAAAGGGAGAAATGGCATTTTATTTGCAAGATCTCAAGTACCTTTCTTGGGTCTCTGAGATATGAGTGGGATGTTGCCTAATTCTTGTGAGATAAACATGTGCTCTGTGGTGTTATATCTCTTCTTTGTTTTCAATAGAAACTCTTAAAGGGGACACATAATACCTATTTAAACTATAATATGCTGAAAAACAGTCTCTGCCTTAATTATAAAAATATGTTTGGCTTAAAAATGTTTTTTTTAAACATCATCTTGAGAGACATATTCAATATGGTGTCTCTCAGCTTTAATAAAATGTTCATTTGTGCTAATTTACTTTGAATTCTTCTTAGAGCAATTTATCTTGGTTCAGAGTTTCTGAGCTATAAAAAAATTAACACTAAAGAGTTTGGGTTAGTAACTACAGTATATTTGAGTTAATTATGTTATACTCCTGTTTCTGACTCAGAAAACATGTCTCAATTAGCCCAGTTCAGGAAAAGAAGGGAACAGAACAGAAAGGAAGGGAAAGGAAGGGAAAGGAAAAGAAGGAAGGAAGAGA